TGGTTCTTTTAATCTAAGGTATCAAATTTACGTGTGCAGAGTTGTTCATAGCATTCTCTTTTTTGTCTTTTGATGACTGGAGGATCTGAAGTCTATTTAATGATTAATATTGGTGATTTGTACCTTCTTGGCTTTTGTTCATCTTGTTAAAAGTTTATCAATTTCATTGATCTTTTTAAATATGCATCTCTGGGGATGCCTGGGTGGCTCAGTGGTTAAGAGTCTGACTTTGGCTCAGGGTGTGATCCTGGAGTCCTGGGATCTGTATCCCAGGGCTGTAATGGGCTCCGTGCATGGAGACTCCTTTTCCCTCTGCCTATGTCTCTGCCTCTCTCTCTCTCTCTTTCTCATGAATAAATAAATAAAATCTTTAAAAAGATTAAAAATAATAAATATGCATCTCTGTTTCACTCAATTTTTAATTGTTTTTCTGTTTCAATTTCATTGATTTCTGCTTCTATCTTTATTATTTACACCTTTTTTGATCAAATTTTATCAAAGTTTATTCAGCTCTTCTTTCTGCTAAGTGCTTGAGGTGGGGCCTTAGATTATTAATCTGGGAAATTTTCACTTTTCTGATATGTACATTTAGCGTGATAAATTTCCCCGTCTGATTATGTCCCACATACTGTGATACGTTGTATTTTCATCTTCATAGAATTCATTGTGTGTTTAAAATTTTTGAGTATTCTTCTTTGACCTGTGGATTATTTATAAGTGTGTAATTAATTTTTTAGGTTTGGAATATCTTTATTTTTTTTCTATTCTTGATTTCTTTTCTATTCTATTGCAGTTGGGGAACACACTGTATCTGATTTCAATTCATTTGAATTTGTTGAGTTTTGCTTTTTGCTCCAGGTTACAGTCTATCTTGTCATCTGTTCCATAGATTCTTAAAAAGTGTGTATTCTGCTATTTTTAGGTACAATATTCTATAGGTTCCGTTAGATCCTATTGTTTTATGATGCCAAAGATCCTTCTATAAACTTGATGATTTTCTGTCTACTTTATCACTTGTTAAGAAAGAGTGGTTGTTGGAACACCTGGGTGGCTCAGTGGTTGAGCATCTGCCTTTGGCTCAGGTTGTGATCCCGGGGTCCCATGATCGAGTCCCGCATCAGGCTCCCTGCATGGAGCCTGCTTCTCCCTCTGCCTGTGTCTCTTTTCTCTCTCTATGTGTCTCTCATGAATAAATAAATAAAACCTTTAAAAAAAAAAAAAGGAAAGAGTGGTTGAAGCTTGCAACTAAAATTGTGGATTTGCCTATTTCTCCATTCTTTTTTTTTTTTTAATTTGTTGCTTCACATGTTTTGCAGCTCTGTTGTTCGATATGTATGTATTTAGTGTTGCTACGCCTTCTAGTAAGTTGACCTCTTTATCACTATATAATCTCCCTCTCTGTCTCTAGAAATTTTCTTTGCTCTGATGTCTACTGTATCTAATGTTAATATAGTCACTAACATTTTCTCTTGAATAATGTTTGCATGATATATCTTTTTCCACATTTTTACTTTCAAACTTCTTATATAGTTATATTTTAATTCCTTGTAGACAGCATGTAATTGGCTGAGTTTTTAATCTACTCTGCCAATTTCTCTTTTAATTGTTGTGTTTAGACCATTTATAGTTAATGTTATCATCAATATACTAGGGCTTAAAATTGATATTATGGTTCTTTGTTTGTTTTATCTTTCTTCTGATTTCTTTTGCCTGCCTTCCTATGGTTACTTTACATCTTATTATTTTAATTTTATTCATACATAATGTTTTGAGCATGTTTATACAGCTTTTCTTAATGATTTCTGTATGTATTGCATGGTATATACATAATAATCATAGTCTCCTGTGTTGTCAATTTGCTAGTTTGAGTTAAATGTAGAAATCTAAGATCTCATGTGTCCCTTTATCTTCCCCCCTTTATAATATAATTGTCTGCAATGTTTTCTCTACATTTAGAAGCACATCTGATAGGCATCTGGGTGGCTTGTGGGTTAAACATCAGACTCTTGATTTTGGCTCAGGTCATGATTTCAGGGTTGCGGGATGGAGCCTCAAGTGAGGAGTCTACTAGAGATTCTCTCTCTGTCCCTCGCCCCACTTGCGCACCCCACCTCTCTCTCTCTCTCAAATAAATATAAATCCTTAAAAAAAAAGAAGCACATCTGAAAATGTTTATAATTTTTGCTTTAACTGTCAAATATAATTTGGAAAATTCAAGAGGAGAAAGAAATCCTTTTGTATTTATCATATTACTACTTACGGTGTTCTTCCTTCCTGGTGTTCTAAGATTCCATCCTTATAATGTCCCTGCCATTTAGAAACCCCTTTCAGCCCTTCTTTCAGGGTAGGTCTATTGGTGGTGACAAATTATCTTAGTTTTCATTCATCTGAGAATGCTCTGATTTCATCTTAATTCCTGAAAAATATTTTCACTGGATAATGGATATTGTGTTGACAGTTCTTTTACTCAGTATTTGAAAAATGCTGTGTCACTAACTTCTGGCCTCCATGGTTTCTGATAAGAAATTTGAATTGTTTTCCTCTGTGGGTAAAGTGATATTTCTCTATGACGGCTTTCAGTATTTTGTCTTTGTTTTTAATTTTCAGAAGTTTGAACCGTACCTTTGGGTGGATTTCTTTATGTTTATCGTGTTTGGATTTCCCTCAGCTTCATGAACATACAACTTTATATCTTTTGCTAACTATAGGGATTTTTCAGCTGTTTTTCTTCATTCATTCCAGTGGCTATGTTTTTTTTTTTTTAAGTCTGCTTTCTGACTTTTGTTCAAATTAGATAATTTATATTGTTTTATCTTTAGTTCACTAATTTCTCTCCTCTATGTACTTCACTGTGCTGTGAAATCATCCCATTAGTGTTTTATTTTGACTATTATATTTTTAGGTTTTAATATTTCCATTTGGTTTTTCTTTATGTATTTGCTTGCTAAGATTCTTTTTGGCTGTCTATTTTTTTCATTTGTCTCAAGTGTGTTTGTAGTTGCTCACTGAAGCACTTTTATTTGGATATTTTAAATTATTTGTCAGTTAATTGCAGCATCTCTGTCATCTCAGTGTTGGCATCTATTGATTTTTTTTCATTCGGTTTGAAATCTTCCTGATTCTTAGTATGATGAATAATTTTCTACTAAAACCTATGCATTTTGTTTTGCTTTGTTTTGTTTTAAAGATTTTATTTATTTATTTAAGAGAGAGCACAAGCAGGGAGAGTGGCAGAGGGAGAGGCTCAGTGGGGAGCCTGATGTGGGGCTAGTCCCAGTACCCCAAGCTTATGACTTGAGCCGAAGGCAGACACCCAGCTGCCTGAGCCACGCAGGTGCCCCCAAACCTGTGCATTTTGGATATTATGTTAGAAGACTCTGAATCCCACTTAAAGATTTGTTTTCATTAGGTTCTCTTGTTGTTGCTCTTGTAGGGCAAAGGGGGCTGGGTGGGAAGGTGGTGTGGCCTTCCCATTTCTGCTAGATGGGGAAAGAAGTCTAGGTTCCCCTCTTGACTTTCTTTGACACCTGAGGGAGAGGGGTTTCCTCCTTGCTGGAAGGTATGGATGAGGCTTTAGGCTTCTCACAAGCCCTGACCTTCCTTCACTAGACTGCTAGAAATACCTAGTTATTGCTTCCCAAATGGCTTCATTACTTCTGTGCAGTGGCGAAACTTCTGGCTCTCCACTCTGCCTCCTTTTACTCTCCCCTAGTACAGAATGGAAGGTGGTGGCCTCATCGCTGCTGTGCTGTGTGAACACACAGGCTTCATTGACACCAAGGTGGGGAGGGATGGATGTAGATGCCTGGATCCTTACTCAGCCTTCTCTAACACTGCTGGGCTGGGGGACTGGGGTGCTTCATTAGAGACTAGAAATAGTAGAGTCTGGGTCTCCCACTTGTCCTTTGACAGTGTAAGTAAGGTGGGACCACAGGACTTTTTTCTTTGGTGTTCTGCTAGAGCATAGCCATTGCTGTCTGTAATTTTCTGTCTTGCTAGACTGTCTTTTTTTCTGGCCTTATAGTAGAAAGAGGAGGGTTTTTCTCTCTGCACCCACTGACATTTCCAGTTCACCAGTTATGCCTCACATATCCCAAGGCTGGTTTGCATCTCTTCCACCCCCCCTACCCCATCCCCAAGCTGGGATATGTGAGGCATAAAGAAAACCCTGAAGTCACCACAATGTCAATCCTTGTGTCTCAAGGTCCCTACCTTGTCTGCCTTCTCCTACTTGCCTTTTTGTCTTCTTATATTTGTTTTTAATCTCCAGTTTTTAGTTGCACTTACCAGGAGAAATAGGGTAAAATAGACATACTCCTCCTTCCCGTTTATGGAAGTTCTATGGTTTTCTCAAATATATATATATATACATATATTTCATGTAATGAAAAAGGACCAGAGTCAACAGTACCCTCTTAACAGTCATTTGCTACCCCCAACGTCTTTCTTCTTAAAACAAATGTCATTTTTACTCAAGGAGATACCGAAGCAGGCACTTGGGAATTTTCTGTGACACTTCTTCCTTCCAGGGGCTGGCCCCTGATGGATGGCCACTGTCATGGGTTTTGGGATCTCTGTGTGCACACAGCCTCTCTACCAGCTAGGAATGAGTGAGTCACAATTAAGCAAAATGAGTTCGATGAATTGTGAGAACCAAACACAGGAAAGGGAGTCCACGTAAAAGGCGAAGAGCCGAGGGATCAGGGGGAGCAGGGCACTGCTCCCAGTTATCAGCCTTTACATTGCAGAAGGTAACAAAAATAACATCAAATCTAGAGGAGCAGCCGAAGGGCTGGTGCGCGGCCAGTGGGGGACGTGGGCATTGCCAGCAGAGCGCGAATGTGGGAAAGTGGGGGAACAACTTGCGGGCTGAGACCTGCTGCACCCCAGAGGTAGAGGGGAGGAGACGCGACGGCGGGGCGGGGCGGGGCGGGGCGGGGCGGGGAGAGAGCCCTGCGGTCCGGGTCCCCTCTGCTGGGCTCGCGGAGAGGCGGGGAGAGCGCAGAGGGAGCCTGGCCCGGGGCTTCGGTGCTGAAGGACGGAGCCGGGCCGGGGTGCAGCGCCGCCCCGGAGGGCGCGACCCGGAGGGGCCCTGCCAGCCGGCACGGGCGCGGGCGCGGGCGCGGGCGCGGGCGCGGCGCTTCCCGGCCGGGGCGGAGCGAGTCCCGGACCGCGGCCCCCGCCTGCGCGCCTCTGTCCCCGCGCGCGCCCGCCCGTGCGCTCCGGGCCCGGCTCCCGGCGCCTGGGACTTGGTCCTGCGCCCGCCGACGATGGATGGCAACTCCCGGCTCTCCGTGCCCAGGTGAGCGCGCTGCCCCGTGCCCCACGCGGTGGCCCTAAACTCCGCCTTGGGCCTCGGATCGCCCCCTGAACCGGCCCCCGGGGTGGGCGCAGGGTGTGCGCGAGGGTGGCCCGGGTCCCCTGCCCCGCGGGGCGCGGACCTGGGCATGGCCTGCGCCCCCGGGGCTGCTCGGGACAGCCCGGGGCGCGGGGCCAGCTCGGGCCGCCTCCGGGGCTGGGGCTGGGGCTGGGGCTGGGGCTGGGGTCGGCTCCGCGCCGCGGGAGCCCGGAGCCGCACTTTCCGCGGACGCAGCCTGCACGGGGTTCGCGCCCTTTGGGGAGACCCGCTCCAAGGTAGGGGTGAGAATGGGGTAGAGCAAGACTAGGGCAAAGTACCCCCGTCCCCGTGCATTGCGATGTGGGTGCGCAGGTGGGGGGCAGCGTCCCTAACCCCCGACGACACGGAGGCGGCGCCCCGCCGAGGCAGGGGGCAGCGGGACCCGCTCCGCTGCAGTCCCACCCGCCTCAAGCGCCCCCACATCCTGGGCCGGTGGCCGAGCGCGCCCCCTGCCTGCACCCCAGCCTGGGGTCCCCGCTCGGGGAGGGTCGGGAGCCGCGTGTTGCCCCGGGTGTGCGTCTCTTCCGTCTCCCCCTGTGCCCCTATCCCGCGCCCTTTCACACTCGAGTCGTTTGCAAATTGGAGACACTGAGATTTTTTTATATTTCAGCCCCCATACACCGTTAGGGGGAAATCGAGGTGGTTGTAGCGCCGGTTGTGCCCCCCCCCCCAAGCTGGGCAGGTGGCTTTTGTGCGGAGTGTCCCCCCAGAGGGCCGGCGGACACCCCAGGGCGGCCCGCACATCACCCCCCCCAACACACACCCAGGCGAGGGGCTTCGTGGTGCTCCTCCTGTCGCCCTCCCTGGCCCCCAGTCCCCAGTCCCCTGTCCCCTGTCCCCAGGCACCGATCTAGGCAGCTTCCCGCCGAGCTCATCGCGCCCAGGAACAGACATTTTTCAGCTCGCGTTCTTGGAGAGCAGCGAAACCCAACATCCCGGGGCGAGGGCACACCTGGAGCTGATACTACCGAGCCAAGGAGCCAGGATGGGGGTGAGAGTGGAGTGGGGGTGGCCCAGGAGGACGAAACTGCTTTTCAAGCGCGTTGAAGGCTGCCATCTAGAGACTTGAAGCATTTATATTCTGTAATGAAAGAGCTTTCCCAGCTCCACAGGCAATTTCCTCTTTAAGCATCCCTCCTCGGTGGGGTAGCGAAAGGCTCTGAAAAGGCCTGCGGTGGTTTCAAGGCCTGGCCTGAGGCTGCTGTCAAGGGGAAAACCTCTAGCCTTGTGGCCAAACACGGTCAAAGGACCACGAAGTCTTTCCATGCATGAAAAGGACAAGAGCCCCAGGAAGGTTTTGTTTTTGTTGTTAAACTATTTATATATATTGCCACTGATTTTTAGGTAAAAGTGTGAGGCACCTTGAAAGCATGAAGCCCCCTAGGACTTCACTTTCCACGCCCCCTATTCTACTGCCTAGAATTGAAACGGCAACTGTGATTCCAACATTCCCCTAGAGACACTTTTGATGAGAGATCTCTGGCCTTGCACACAGGTTTGCAGATCAATAGTGATGTGCCTGAATCGGGACTATATTCCTATTCAAAAGCCGGGACCTTTTCTAAAATATTAAAGTTCATGATGCCGGTAATTCCTTAAAATTATTTCTATGGCAATACTGTAAAAATGATTTTACAAAGAGCAAACCAGTTGCGATGGTATTGCTCTGTGTCATGTAGCATCCTACAAAATATTAATATAGGTTTAATATCAGCTGCCGCAAATTAAACGTTGAATTATTCAGGTATTATTGTTTATTCACCAGACATCATATCACGTCTCCACGAATCGGTGTAGCAATTCAGCTATTTTGTTAGCATCTTTACTCATATAAAACATATTCAGTTCACTCTAATAGAATAGCTAACTTGATCCTCTATTTCATTGAATACAAGAAACATAATATTTAATTGGAGACCATAGGTATTGATATGCAAAAAGTAAACTAGAATTACCAAGCAGTGTCTGGAAATATTATATTAGCCATACTACTTGTCCGCAAAAGTTTGAATTTAAGGAATTGATGACTGGAAACTCTTCACAGGTTTTTTTCAAGAAATGGCAGTGATCAGGAAAAAAATCAAGTTGTTGTCAATCAATATGTGTGCTGTTTAAATCTGAAATATTTTCGGTATCTAATATAATTAAGTGGGTGATTATAAATCACTGTTTCTCTTAAGAATTATAAAGCAATCAAAGACTTTCTGTTTAGCACTTGGGTAGGAAGAACAAAATGATTTAGTAATACACTGAGGTAATCACAGAATTTTTGCATGTGTTGGCTTTTACCTACAGTTTCTTAAATTTTTCAGGGAATCAAAAATACAAATTAAATTTTATTCAAGCAATGTTCTGTGACAGTCTTAAAATTGTTTTTGATTCATATGCTTTAGATACTTTAAACCATGTTTTTTTTAAAGAATTGTTTATGCTTTGACTTGTTATACTGTCTTTACTTCTGTGAAACCTCCAGTTAGTTGTTAATATTCTCATTTTTAAATGTACAAAAGCTATTTGGATGACGTTACAGAGTTCTTTTAATGACTGTTATTAATGTTGGAAGGTGTCTCCAGTAATGGGACTGACCTATGGAAAGATGAAATGTTCCCATGTTAGTTGTATTATAAATCCAGAAGCCAAGTGTGTCCCGACTAGCAGTCTAGTTCAAGAAAATAAAATAAATAAAAAAGGTAAAAAATTTAGATTCTTCAGTCATCTACTTTACAAAAAAGTTTATTTGATTTAAGGTACAAAACTAGATATTATGAAAATGAGAGAAAATCCAAGGACTCTCACCCAGTGTGTTCCGTGGCTGTAGTGCATTGCACTGTAATATAGAAGCTACACCTGACAGAGTGAAGATCTGTGTCAATTATATTGATCACTAGTGTGTGTAAAATAAGACTTATATTTTATGAAGTATTAACCTATACATTAACTTTTGTGATCATCACATCCCTGTTGGTTAATATTACAGATATAATTATCTCCACTTTTTAGTTAAAAAATTTGAAGGAAAAAGAAATAAAATGAGGAAAATGGTTTGATTTAGAAAACCACGCAATAGTCTGTAGCAGAGCTGGGTCAACCACAGAGTTCTTCTGGCTTCCGGTGAGGTTCTCTTTCCTGTATTGACGGAAAATCCATACTTTCAAGTAGGGGAAGTTTGAACAAACACTGATATCATTAGGACACATGGGGGCAGCCTAAAAGCAAAATCATCTGTTAAAGCCAACCAATACTGAAAATATCATTTTTGCAGACAGAAATAATTTGTCACCTTGACCATAACTAAGGTTTGAATTTGAAGTTTAAGAAAGGGGCCATCTCATTTCCTGAATCACTTGTACTTTTTATACTGTATCGCTTTGTTATTTTTGTTTTGCTTACTGGATTTCTATTTCAGTAATGTTTTTATCAGGCACTTTGAATGAGAAAATTATCAAAGATGAACCCTTGGAAAAAAATAGGGTATTTTGATTTAGGTTTCCTGTGAGATTATTTTAATCCAGCCTAAGGTTAACCTAGCAATATTTCACTAAAACCCACCAAAATCTCAAGGTTTTTCCTCTAAAAATGCTAGTTCTAGGGAAAAAAAAAAAACACAACAGGATTTACTTTTTTTTTTTTTTTTAAGAAGCAAACCAGGTAATACTGTAAACTAGACTACGATCTTCTGTCAACAAGTTTTTATTGAAAGGTTATCTGTTTTCAAATTCATACAAAAGGAAAAATTCAAGAGTCCATTACATTTCTGTGTCCTATTTGTCTGAAACTCTCAGAAAAGATTAATCTATCACTCTTAACAAATTGAGGAACAGAGACAAATAACAGACTGTCTTAAGTGTAAACTGAAGGCTGTTTTCTATCGTGACAACCATGCTCCCTTCAAGAGCAGTGCTGACATGACCATATTCTCCAACTCATAATTCACAAGGAAACACGGCCCAAGAGGTGCTGTTTCCTACTATAGAGAAAGAAACGGAGAATTAGTCAATCCTGGTGCCAAGGACCCTGAGAGCCACATTGCTGCAGGGTAACAGGATCTGGAGAAGAGATGGAAACTCTGAAGGCAATCAGATCTCTATCCATGTGGTTCCTTTAGTAAAATATGTATCTGATTCAAAATCATCGATGTTTTTAAGATTCATTGATTGATTGATTCATGAGAGACACAGAGAGAGGGGTAGAGACACAGGCAGAGGGAGAAGCAGGTCCATCTAGCAGGGAGCCGGACGTGGGACTGGATCCCAGGACCCCAGGGTCACACCCTGGGCTGAAGCCGGCGCTAAACCGCTGAGCCACCTGGGCTGCCCTAAATCATCAATTTTTAAATGAACTATTAGAGCTTGTCTCATTCACAAGGGGTTGCCTTTGTCTGATACTATTCATTTTCATGGTATTTTATTCTTTGCATGAGAGTAACAGCTACAGAGACTTGTGAAGAGAGAAAGAAGAAATAGTGATGTATTTGATGGCAGGAGATCTGGTGTTTAGTCCTGTTCTGAAGTTGTTGGCTGCGACTGCCTGGGCAATGTGCTTGACCTGTGACTCCTGTGTCTTCTCCTGGATGTCATGACTTCTATCCTGAATGTTCTGCTTTTTTAAGTCCCTTTTACTTCTAACCTGTAGTGCTGCAGACTTTATTGTAGCAGTGACTCAGTTGGGCATGATATGCGGATGAACATCTCATTCTCCTGAAAGAGAGAGATGAAGTTAAGGCATTTAAAAGGACTGAAGTGGCACCTGGGTGGCTCAGTAAGTTAAGTGTCTGCCTTCGGCTCAGGTCCTAATCCCAGGGTCCTGGGATCGAGCCCCACATCAGGCTCCCTGCTCAGCAGGAAGTCTCCTTCTCCCTCTGCCTCTCACCCCACTTGTGTTCTCACTCTCTCTCTCTCTCTCTC